ATACAACTAAGGGTCTGTATCAATCCACAGCCCAACATCTGCAAAATACCTAAACATTTTATACAAGTGTCTGGAGATCATTTCAAAAATTTATAGTTTACAACCACATTCTGCCATATACAATTTATTTTCAGGGAATTTCTGAAGTACTTTTCTCGTGGAAGAACTGCTACCTTTATAACACTGGAAAACACCATTTGCAATAAAAGTGGTTTTAAGAGACCATTACAGATCAGAATAACTCGAGTTTATTCCTTGTAGCAGCTATTTCTCAAATGCTTCAGCTCCACATTGCTGTTCCTCATTCTCCTTCACAAACTGGCATCTCAGCTCTACTGTTTTAGACACAGAGAAGACCAAATGCCAGGTCATTAGCAAAAATCCATTCAGCAAGTTCACTTATAATGAAAAAAAATGGCCACAAGCATTAAAGAAAAAGAACCCTACTTGTGAAAAATAAAGTATGGTCCAGGTTTTTTGTCTGCAATCTCAACTTCTGTAGAGATCTGTTGGGTGCGTCTGCTTCTGTGAAAACTCAGCACAAAAATTTCACTGAGGTCTTGTGGAGTCACTGCTGAAGTTTGTTTTCCCCCAATTAAAGAAGCTATTAAAGGCCAGTTTTAAAAAATAGCAACCTTTAATTGGGAAGAAAAACGCCCAACAATAAATAAAAAGCAGACACATTCACCAATTAAAAATCTGACAAGATCTCTCTGTCTTAAGAAGAAAGCATTTGCTAAATGCCAGGTTGCTTGTTTCAGAATACAAAAGCTGCTTCAACCAGCTACCAACAAAACAAAAGGTTAAGAAAAATCAATATACAAACACGTGTTTGTCCTCTGAGTCATAAAAGAAAATATTCCCTGACTTGTCCTCCAGCAGGTGAGCCAAATTTGCTCTGTTATCTGCATGGTTTTTAAAAAGACATTGCCAAAGCCCCTGGGACCAGCAGGAGATTTCTGTGACAGCATATTGACCTTACAAAGTATCTTTTATTTAAGGAACTAGAGGGATCTTTCTCATCCTTGAAGGAACGAGCAGGTTTTGGAGGTGGGTGTGCTGAGGAATGAGCACAAGTGCAGCAGCACAGGGATAGAAGCTGTACAGCCCTGACATCCAACATCCACTCTGGAAGTCACAATCCCAGGAATTGTTTTCCTGGAGCAAGTAATGCTCATTTCTTCTCAGCACTCTGAGGACAAGAGCAAATTGAAGACACTTCCAATAGCTGTAAAGGCACAGGGAAAAGAAGGAAAGCTCCCTGGAGCTGCAGCCAAAGTGGGAATTTAAGGGCAGAGTTTGCAAACATTGATTAAGCTTCCCAGACACTATTTCCTAAAGATTTATTGTTGGGGACAATCCCTTTATTTCTCCTTTGGGAGAATCAAGAGGGGAACTGGCCAAGAACTCAGTGTGATCCTGCTGGGGGTGGAACTACACCTTCCTAAATTTGGGAATTCCTAGGGAGCTCCTGGCTCTTTTGGGATGGATCAGTCCTGTGCTGGGACAGCTGCACATCCCTCACTCCTGACAGCTCCAAATGAATCCATCCTTGAGGCTGCCTTTAGTTTCTGTTCTTGGCAACAACCAGAAAACCAAGGTGAATTCCATGAGTGCAGGGATCCTCCTACAGGAACCAACTGTCAAATAACAAATATGTTCCCTGACACAACAGGAAAAAGTGACACTTCAGAGTGACAGGAAGGGAATCACAAGCGGGACTCTCTTTCCTGTTGGGCTTTCCTTCATCTCAGAGCTTTCTGTATTCAGAGCTGCTGAAAAGCAGCGCCACAGAGAGCAGGGATAACTTAAAATTCCCAAACTAGACCCCATAAAATTCCATTTTTGACTGGATTATAGTGCTGCTAGGCAAGTTAAACTTGGTCACGGATTCCGTCCCAAACGCTCTCCCTGGAAGTGACACACACTCTCCTGGGAAGTCTAGTTACAAAACTACAAGAATCTCTAAATCTGGGATCACAGAAAAGGGAATTATTCAGTCTCTTGTGAGTGAGAGCTCCTGAGCTCGAGTAAATATCAGAAATTATCCCTTCATTAATAAAGTAATTTCTATTTACAAAAGGCCTTTCAGCTTCACACTTCAAAGCATTTCATAGACAATACAAAGAGATTTTGAAGACCTAAACAATGTTTCTTTTTGGAAAACAGCCCTGTCTTTGCTATAACCAAGTAAAACATCAATACTTGAAGCAGCTCCTCTGGTTTTGTTTGTTTATAGCAGAAAATGCAGTCAGTTTTGCTGGTTTTTATCCACTGTTGCCTTTATGGACCTTTCACACAGCAACAAGGGAGAAATAAACAGCCTACATAAACAAGGACATGCAAGTGGAAAACCACAAGGATTGGCAGAAGCCTCTATTATGCATAAATGTTTTGGAAATAAAGCCATCAACAAAAGGAAACTCGGCCACATTTCAAACCAACAGCTCGCTGTTAAGATTTGTAATATTTTTCTGAAGCTCAGTAAAATTACATTTAAGCCACACAAGTTTAAATTTGTCTGCAGTGGTATTTTATGACTGTACAAACCACTAAAAAATTCACCTGTTGCTTGGCAAGTGCATCCTCACCTGAGCTCCTACATAAAAACAACGTCTGGAGCAAAGTGATTTAAATTCCTTTTCACACCATTTGCTTTCTGCACTTGACTAAGCCTAAGAAACATCAATATTATTACCACAACACTTTTTCCTTCCTCTGCAATCAGTTCTACCCTCAGGTTTTCATGGTCTGGCTCAACCTGAGACATCAAGCTGTGCAGAGAATCTCTACATCCAAACCAAGTTCTAATTAAATTCTGGAAGTTTAGTTATCAAGCTGTTCTATTGAATAACTTTATGAAATTAAAGTCAATAACTCAATGTTGTGTCTAAAAAACAGGCCTAAACTAGCCAAGGTATCAGTGCCTGGAAGCCAAAGATTCTGAGACAAACATTTCATTTGGAGAACAGAACTCTGTGAGCTCACTCTTCTGGTTTTAAGTAAATTTAATAAGCCTGGATTTATTAAAATACAGGTACAAAAGGAAGACCTTAAAATACTCTTGGAAATTACAGGAATCATGGAAAAAAGATGATTGCAACAGGAAATGCTGCACAACCAGTGCATGTTTATTATTCTTCCACAGATAGTGGCACCAGCTACTTTTTTTTTAACAGAACTAACATCTCCTTCAAGTTCTGCAAGATTTCAAATACCAGAGCAATGAAAAAGAATGGAATTTTGTCCTAAACATTATCCTTCCCAGAGGATATTTAAATCATAGCCTTTCCTAGATACAGAACTAGTGCCACAATAACTTCTCCAAAACCAGAATGACTACAGTTTCTGTCCAAGACACTGGAGCAGGATCCAAAGTTTGGGAGCTCATTACAACTGCCAGCATCCTGCTGGTGTGACTGCAGCTGCCCACACCCACTGTGTGAGAACATGAAAAACATGTAAGAACATTCAAAACATGTAAGAACATGAAAAACCTTCAGTGTGGGCAATCAGCTGCCAATCCACTGCTTATAAGCAGCACAGAGAAGATTTACAAGGAGCTAAAGAAAGTACTGGGTGGGAACAGTGAATTCACACCCAAGTCTCTCACAGAACCATCCTCCAGCAGAGCCAAGCTCAGGAATGTGGGCAGACAAAAAACCAATGGCTAAACATGACTGGACACAACTCTTTATTTTTAATGCCAACAAGAAGACTTGGAAGCAGCAGCACTTTGCCCACTCTGGCAGTCCCACGCAGGATGGAGTCCACCCACTGGACTTCATGGTTCTCCAGATTTCCAGCCAGATGAATTTTACTCAGTTTGAAGGTGGGGGTCACTTATGGACCCCACAGCAACAACATGACAGTGCCTTGGCCTTCATGAATGGCATTAAGCTGGTACTACCTGCAGAGTTTACTCACAGCATCAGTGAATTTAGAAAAGATCTCCAAGACCATTGAGATCTGTGACAGAATCCCACCTTGTCACCCACACCAGAGCACCGAGTGTCACATCCTGTGTTTCCAAGACCATTGAGATCTGTGACAGAACCCCACCTTGTCACCCACACCAGAGCACTGAGTGTCACATCCTGTGTTGTCTTCAAAACCTCCAGGGATGAGGGTCCACCACTGCCCCTGGACTGATGGAGTCCCCACAGTGTTTGAAGACCTTTCTTATGTAGAAATTCTTCCTAAAATCCCCCCTGAGCTCCCCTGGCCCAGGCTGAGGCCGTTCCCTCTCCTCCTGTCCCTGTTCCCTGGAGCACAGCCCGACCCCCCCGGCTGTCCCCTCCTGGCAGGGACTTGTGCAGAGCCACAAGGTCCTCCCTGAGCCTCCTTTGCTCCAGCTGCCTCAACTGCTCCTGGTTCTCCAGACCCTTCCCAGCTCCATTCCCTGGACCTTCTCCAGCCCCTCAATGTCCTCGGAGTTGAGGAGCCCAGAACAGGACACAGCACCTGAGGTGCGACCGCATCAGTGCCCAGAACAAGGGAAAATAACTTCTCTGGTCCTGTGGCCACACTATTTTAGACACAGACCAGGTGCCATCGCTCTTCTTGTCCACCAGGGCAAGCAGCACCCCCAGGTCCTGTCCTGTGCACAAACTCCCAGCCCCTCGGCCCCGGGCTGGAGCAGTACCCGAGGTTATTGTGGCCAAAACACAGGACCCGGCACTTGGCCCTGCTGAACCTCACCCCGCTGGTCTCAGCCCCTCTGACCCCAGGATGAGGCAAAGCACTGGGAGCAGGAGGAAGAGCGCCGGGCAGGGCGGCAGGACAGCGGGACAGCCCTCAGGACAAGGCTTTCTCCAGCACTGCAGCCTCCCCAGCGCTCCAAGGCCAGCAGCGAACCAAGCCTGGGGTCATCCCATGCCCAGGACGGACCCCACATCCCGGAAGCCCGAGCCGGGCAGGCCTCCCCAGCACAGCATGGCCCGCACCCGGCCTGGAGCACCCTCAGAGGCCCGGAGGATGCGGAGCGGGGCCGCCCCTACCTGATAACCGAGATGAGCAGCCCCGAGGGGTCCTTGCTCCTGCCCACAGTGCTGCGGTACCTCCCAACAGCGTCGCCCGCCGCCATCTTGCGCCCCCCCAAACACGGCGCATACACACGTGCTGGCGCGCCGCAGCCAATCATAGGCGAGGAGGGTGGGATGCCACCCAATAGAAGACGGGAAGGGCGGGGCACGCGACATCAAGGCGGGGTGCTGCGCCGCGGGGCCTTCTGGGAGTTGTAGTTTTTGTGGCAGCGACGATAGATTCCCATGCGAACCTTCGACAGGTGGTTAAAAATGAGTGAAAGGTTAAAAAATTATCGACCTGGCAAATATACCTGCAAAGACAGCTGTGCCCAATAGCTCTCATTCACTCTGGGAGCGGCAGGAAACAGTGGAGGTATGAGGGACCAAAGCATCCCCTCAGAGCACTCACGGATCAGGGTTGTTTGAACAGTAAGGGATTTCATTGTTTATAGAGTTAAAAGTGGGTAAAGTGTGTTAAGTATTTAAATTAACGTGTGTATTAATTAGTAATGATAAATACTTACCATTTGTCACAGCCTGAATGAGTCTGATCACAAATACACCCACAAGAGTTGCTGACGCTTCCCTTAATTTAATGTCTTTAAGCTACAATGTTATTAAGAATAATTTCCCCCAGTCTTGCATGGAAAGGCAGTGAGGTGACCAAAGACAAGCCAGCCCAGGTGGTCCTTGAAGTGAGCTCTGGAAGCAAACTGGAGAGTTTGGCACAGGAATTGTGCTTTTGGAGCAGATGGAGGTGATGGATTGGAATCTTCACAATCTCAAAAATGCTGCAACACCCAACCCTCGCTGTGTGGGTCTCTTCCAACGCTGGATATTCCATGTTTCTACAATGCTGGGATTCCATGAGACTGAACACCAACCTCCTTGCTTTCCCATGGACACACTCCATCCTTTGCAGCAGAATCACCTTTGGAAAAAAGAAAGGTGGATGTCACCCTGTCCAGGGCTGGAAATCAAAAGTTTGTTTTTCACCAAACACCAAACAAACCTCTCCCAAGCGCTGCCTCACTTTCCCTGTTTCTAGGTGAGGGATAAGGACACTTTTTCAGTCACATCCTTCAAGAGCTTGTGTTAAAAGACACCATGCAAACCCCAGCACTGTTGTTGCAGGGGCAGAATTCCTTTGGAAAGGCAGGAACAACCCTCATTTGCCTCACTTGGAGCTGCTGGGTGTTTTCTAACCCACGCTCACTCCATCATGTCAAACACGCTGCTCTTCCAGAAGTGTTTTTACTGCCCAAAGCTGCACCTTAACGATTTAATTGCATGGAAATTGCTGAAATCTGTAGGTGAGTCAAGAGTACCCATTTATATGAGCTGTATTTGAAACACGAGGTAATTGGAAGCATGATAATTCCTTATTTACAAGGATAAGAATTCCACTGTAGCTGTTGTGGGAGAGCCTCTATTTATTACAATCAACAGCTGTATCTCTGATCATTAGCAGAAGGGCAGAGTAAGAGCACAGGCACTTTAATTCTGAAATAAAAGATACTTTATTCCTGAATAAGCAATGTGTTTTCACAACAGAAGAATTACTGCAAAGGAAAGTGATTTTTATCTCCAGGTAGGGTGTGCACTTCAGTGTGCTCCCGTGTAGCTGTTCTGCTACATTTCCCCTGTGCAGATGAGCTCTAAGCTCCACAATTTCCTATGCAGAGATGCCAAAATAAAAATCTCATTTTCCCTGTTTTTCTGAGCAGGTTTGCCAATGCTTTTGCCCAAGGACGGTGATTTGAATGGCAAGAGATTTGTGCACTGGCTGATTCCTCAAAGTGCCGACTTGCCAATATTGTTTTTGTTAATTGGCAATTCCCACTGACTGCTCTGGACCAGCAGGGCCTGGAGCCTGCAGAGGGGGTGAAATCGATGGGTCCCACCTTTTCATTCCTGACAGCTGCAATAATCACCTCATTAAGGAGGAACTTCATCAGGACAAACAGCAGCAAATCTGCCCCAGAACTGTTGCCTGGCTGCCTTTCAATCCTGGGCTCTAATTGCTAAACCACTGCCTGGTTTCATTGACCAGCTCTTTCCCTTCACTCCTCACCCAAGCAAAGCCACAGGTGGGAATTTATGTTTTCTTCACATGAAAGGGGAGAAATCCACAGAGGCCTGGCTGATGCAGCACGTGAAGGCTGAGATCTCTCTTGATTAATAATATATGATAAAATTAGGCTGAAGGGTCTTGAGAACATCATTTTTCCTTACACAATTTACAATGAAAGGTCTCAATCTGAAAAATTATGGAAAGGAGAACAGGGGAAAGATTTTTTTTTTTTCACATTTCTTTCACATAGTATTTTAGTGCTCTGAGGTGTATCTGGTAAAATGGGTGGTTCCTGAATTACTCAAACCAAAGAAAGTCCTAACTGACAAAAAAAAATTTCTCATGATGATGAATGAATCCTTGTCACAACTTGTCAATAGAGGTCAGGTTGGCTCACTAAAGGGTCCACGATTCAGAAGGGACTGGGAATCACAGATGGTTTCACTCATCTTTCCTACCCATCCTCCCTTCAATAGTAAAAAAGGAAAGGAGGGGTGAGCTTGTACTGAGCTATTCTTCATCAACTGGGCCAGTTTCCACATAGTGCAGAGTTCTGCCAAGGAGAATTCTGAAGAGGCACAGGCAGAGCGGTTCTTTGGGAAATATGGTTTATTCCTTTGGGGGATGCCTTGTGAAGGCTGAGCTAGGACAGAGGCTTGGCAGAGTTCCAGAATAAAGCAGGGATGGATTGAAAGGATCTCCTCCATGGATGCACCTGGGGCAGCACAAGAGCCCAGCCAGGGCTGCCCCCAAGATGAACCCAAACGGTCCCAAAATGCACGAGCGCTCCCGGGGTCTCTCCCTGGGATCAGCTCTGCTCCATGTGCACATTGCAGTTCAGTGTCCAATTCCAGCTCAGCCCCTGCACTCCCATCCTGCTTGTTTTTCTCTCTCCAGCCCACGGGGTTTGTGCTCCTGGCCTGAGATTTGGATCATTTGTCCTTGGTGCCCAGCTGGAGCAGGAATTGTTTTGTCTCCCTGCTCTGTGCACAGAGCTCACCCTCCCCTCATATGAAGCTCAGAACTGCACACCAAAGCAGCACAGAAGGTGAAAAAGAAAAGCTAAAGAAAAAGAAAAGCTAAAACCTGAGGCATCAAGGGAAGTGTTTTGCAAATTCCACTGGCCAGAATTCCGTTCCCCATGTGACTTGTGTGACACTAAGGGATTGCTTCCCTCCTCTCCTGAGGTAATTTTACCTGCAATCCCTTTCTACGTTTTATCCCCTGATATTTTCTAAGTGTTTCCTGGGAATTCTTGGGAATTCCTAAACCTAAGAGATGTAGGGCTGATATACTCATGGGATCTCTCCACCACAGCATTAACATTTGAAAAAAATACCACAAGTACTTCATTATTTCGTTTCAAACATTAGTGAAAATGTCAGACCAAATGGTTCAGCCCACACCACCTTCTTACAGGTGTAATTGCCTTGTGTGTAATGCCTTCATATTGGTTATAAAGAAATCCCTTTTGACTTCCAGCAGTGTAGATGGGAGCAGAGTGAAGGCCAGAATTTCCATCTGAGCTGTAGGAGCAGTTCTGCCTGTAGAAAGTGAGCCTAATCCTGTTGGCATCTCTCAGTCAGTTTAATAAAATCTATTTTACCCTTCTTACAGAGCTGGTCACCCCCACATCAGCTGAAATTGGTGCATGGGCAAATGAATCAGGTTCCAGCCACTCTCTTCTTCCAAATAATTCTGGTTTTCTTATGAAGCTTTACCAAGCTTTGCCAAACTGCCTGAGTAAAGAATTGAGTACAAGTGTGCTGAAACATCAGGATTTGGCTCTGGGATTATTCACACATCTGGGTGACCTTGTTATTCCTATTTACCATTAAATAAGTGTTAACTAAAGCTGGATTATGTTGTTTTTTGGATTTTCTGCACAGCAACGATCTCTCCAGCACATAACTGCCATCAATTCCTTTTGTTTCTATGAATAAGAAGAAACTCCTGGGGCGTTAACTAAAGCTGGATTATGTTGTTTTTTGGATTTTCTGCACAGCAATGAACTCTCTTTCCAGCACATAGCTGCCATCAATTCTTTTTGTTTCTGTGAATAAGAAGAAACTCCTGGGGTATGAGAAGAAGTTGCCTGGCTCAATGCTGGGAATCAAGGCAGAGATATGATTCAAATGTCTCCTTATTGTTTTTTGCCTCCTGACATTTCCCACGTTGCACTGTGTTCTGCTGCTGCAGAAAAATAATAGCTAAAATTAAGTTAAGTGGAAAAATACTGCTGCTTTTCCAGTGTCAAAGCCACAGAACCTCTGGTAATTCAGTCCCTGAAGGAAAGCAGAGCAGGTGTGAGGCGTTGCTCTTCACAGGCAGGTAAAATGCTCTAAGAGAGGATGTTCTCCTTCTCTTAACCATTAAAAAAAAAATCCAGTTTTTTGGCTTATTTTTCCCCCTTTATTTTACTTATCCTCACTAAGGGAATGCTGTTTTTACAATTATCCAGGGACATTTTCCAAGTCCTCAGGTGAATGGGTACATGCTGCTTGTTGGCTTGTTGAAAATCCTTAAGTCTTAATCTTCCTTTGGAACCATGGAAAACTTTGGGTATATGAGAGACCTAAAAAACAACACTCCCATTCCAACTCTCCCCTGTTTAATTGTGGTTTTTTCACCATTTCTATAAAGAAGTTTTTAGTTCCCACCTACAAACTTCTCTTAACCCAGCTCCATTAAGTTCCTCATGTTTTGACTTGAGGATTTGTTGGGCATCAGCTCTTGCCTCGAGTGATATCCAAGCCTAAATTGCTACAGTTTGGGGGAAAACAGGTGGCTGGATAGAAAAGAAAGTCCCAGAATTCCTGCTGGCACTGAGAGGGAGTTGGAACCACTTGGATCATCTATCCCAGCAAATCCATTTGGGAGGAAGAGTTAATGGATGCCTCAATCCCAGGAAAAACCCTCAGATCACAGGCAGCTGAGCACGACAAATGCTGGAGATAAGACTTCAGAAATTCCAGTGCTCACAGAAACATTTCAT